TCATCCTCTTTCTTTTATTATTTTATTTTAATGCAAATTCTGCTGGGACAACAATTTGCTGGGAAAAATTATTTTCGAAAAACGCATTAATTGAAAACGAACGAATTCTTGAATTCTCTGGTAAAATTAAAAATTTCACTTCAATCGTAAATTTTAATCCACCGATTTACAAACTACGTCAACAATACGAAATTAAATAATATTGATTTTAAATTTCCATTTTTTCCCCAATTATTAAAAATGCACAAACGTTCGTGTATCATAAATAATCACGATATAACTTTCAAGTCCAAAGTCGAAAACAGTGTATGGCAAACTTGATCTTCTCACATCTTAATAAAAACAAGCCTCGATCGATACTTTTATATATCAATTTTTTTTTTTTTTTTTTTTTTACTTTCAATTCAATCCGAACAATGTTATGATGCACGTTGTACCAACACACGTTTCATCAAATCACAATGTGTCGCAAACGAGGTGGCCGGGATCGAGCAGGCAGCTCGAACGCTCTTGATTTCCCTTTTCCTATCCCTCGCTCGAGACTGCGGTATTTTTTGCACGGCCGCTCGTTCCACGGGCAAAAACTCGAGCAACTCGAGCCGCTCTCCGGTCTAGGTGACCATTAACGACCGATTCCTCTTGGCTTTCTTTTTCCGAATTTCTCCCCAGCCCAGACTGGTCTGGTCGGTTCATCCGTGGCGGTTGCCTATCGCAGGCGCCCCGCCTCCGCCTCGATCTCTAACGAGATAATCGACCGGCCGAATAAAAAGAGTTTCTCTTTCTTATCTTCTGACCCACCGCCTCTGATACCGGGCAACTTTCTTCGCCCGATTTTCTTTCTTTTACTTTTGTTCACTCCACCTTTGTTCACCTTTCAAGCATATATGCGAACAATTATTGCTCGTCGATTTGAACGTATATAATGCTTTTTATTGTACGTTTATTATCGTTGTCGGTTTTGGTTTCAGAGATATTTCGGGGAATAATTTTTGTCGAAACCGTTTCGTTGCGCTTATGGCGGAGGTGGTTGTAACGATTAAACACATTTCTCTAGGTAAATAAAAATTAATGAATTATAGGTTAGGTTTGGTTAGTTTATTCCATTTTATTCATTCATCGCGGCATGAATTATTTCAGTCGTTTAATGACAAAAAAGAAAAATTAGTAGTTTAGAGGTTAGGTTATTATTATTTTTAATTCGAATAAAAACTGTATCGTAATTAAAAGTGACGTGATTAATGTTCTTAGCTTTTATTATTATACTATACGTGTATGTATTTGTCAATATTCATAATGTATTCTCATTCATAAATTACTCGTAAAACGTCTGTTGTAAGAAGCAGACAGGAATTTGCTATATAAGTTATAAATCAAGGAATAACGACTGGGCAAGAAGAGGTATCGGAATTAATAAAAATTTCACTTTTAAACGTTTAAGCATAAATCCTTCAATATTTTAAACGATCATATCGAACTAATCATGAATTTACAATTCTTTGAGCTGTCAAGATTGCTTCGATCCATTGATAATTTCACGATTTCTCATCATCTTTTCACGATGAGCCATCTTTTGGCACAATTCAATTCAAATTGAAACAGAGATCAAGGAATGGACGGTTCTTTTTTTTTTTTTTTTTAGTCTTTAGTGAAAAGTGGAACATTTGTATGACGACCAAATATGGCATTAGAGGATTATCTCATCGAGATGTTCCAATTATATTCCAGAGATGGCGCGTCGTTTCATTGTTCCGTGTATTTTATGGGTTCCCAAGACGTCGAGGAACCGTTGCCCAAGAACTCGTTTCTCGAGATGGTTATTCTTCCAGATATAAACGCTTGATCCCTTGCCTCGTTTTTTTTTTTACACACGAATCTAGGTCGTAAGTTCAGGAGACAGTCGCAATCCTGATTGGCGACTCCTCGACCTGTAATCCTCGAGTGATAGGTGAGCCTGAATTAATTCTAAGATGAGGTTAACACGTTCCGCGTACGAAGTACATTTTGTACTTTCATATTTGGAATCATTTGAAATTTTTTTCTATTTATTACGAATAAAAATTTTTATCTCTTTTTAACTTTTTAATAATTATGATAATAATATTTGCAACATTGTAAATGTTGCAACTTGTATATTTCATCAGCAAAAGTGTACAGGTTATGATTTTTATTATGACATACGTAGATATTCATTTTTAAAAAAAAATTATAAATCGATATAGGAAACTACAAGCACGCACTTAATTAATTAATCTTTTAGAGAATACCGATATAAAGTATCGATAAAAAAAAAAAAAAGAAAAAGAATCTAACTTTCAAAATCGTGAGAATTGTTAAAATATTACATTCGTCGTAAAAAATTACCTTGCATATAATTCTTAATTGCGAAAATTGTAGGAAATCAACTTGCAAACACGCGTTTATTCCAAAGACAGTAATCTTTGATCTTCGATGCAAATTTGATTCCAGCAAGCAAAAGGATAAAAATCTTCGATATCCGTTTGATCTTGGTATTAAATGTCTAATTGCACTTTTTGCACGTATTGCAAGAGATTGGTCGATAAATCTTCCGCGATTTTCTAATGTTCGTGGGCCGACAGGTTGAGAGATCGATTTATCAATCCACCTAGACCTAGACTTTCCCTTCTCACGAATATTGGAGACTGCTCGATGGACAAGTTTCGTGCTTCTTCGAACCAAATCTTCGATTCAGTTGTATAATAAAAATAAAAGTGAAATTACTTTGAAAATAATGTGATAAAATCTCGTCTGATTTTTCGTGAAATTTGAGTTGAAGAGAAGAAATGTGGGCCAAATGAATAAATAGTTGGGATTTAATTTGGATGTTCGAAGTCTGGTTAGATTAGGTTATGTTAGATTATAGAAGATAAGATAGATTAAATTATTCGGGCAAATGTGAATTTGAGAGAAAGAGAAGAAGTGAATGTGAATTAATTTAAAAATTTGGTAGTTTGTTTTATTATTCTGAATTGATAGAAATGGTGTATTAATATTTCGTTAAAAACTTGTATACGTCATCTCGATTTATTTTTAATACCAATCTTAGATAAATAAATAACTTTCTTATTACTAAATTTTTAATTGGATTTTATCATGCAAATATGTATTTTTAACCTTTAGAGAATCACGATTAGAAAGTTATTTTGATGGTTTTATATAATATTGTTCATCTTTCTCTATCTGTTAAAGTTCATAGATCATTGATTTCCAATCATTGGAAATTTTCAAAGTTCGTAATTATAATTTTTATGTTTAAAATTTTTTGCAAATAAGATCTTTAAAACTTGGAATGAAAAGCCATTTTTCTTGAATTACATTCGTATTAAACATGTCTTATATAATACGCGAAATTAATTAATTTTCGACACAATAATTTATAAATAAATTCAACCACTTTAAATAAAAATCCTGATTATCGAATATAAAAAAATGAGAAATTTTAAACACATCCATAGAAGAAAAAAATACCATATTTACTCTGTAAATTAATTTTGAATTTTGAATTGCTAATTTATCAATATTAATTTATCAATATAATCACTTATTCAAATGAATAATGTTTACTTCGTGCAAAGTAATTAGTGATATAAATTATTTGACGTGCTATCATATTTCACAAAGTAAAAATGTTGTACAAAATATTTACATAATATCTTCAGTTAAATATTTGATTTATGATTCACGATCCATTATCATCCAACTTTTGTTGCTCGATTCGAGCAGGAATCGACCCACTTTGAAACGTTAAATTTCTGGTTCGTGAATCTCGATCGACACCGTGAGAAAGAGGAAACAGGTTTGTCCAAGAAAAATAAAAGAAAAATCATTGATTCGCGTTCCAGGAGATTGTTATTCAGGCGTCATGCTAATAACAGTGCAACGAGCCAAAGAAACCGTTACGAAGCTTTGCACGAATCTATCAATCCTGCGATGCATGCAACCACGTCTCGAGCAATTGTTCGGAACGATCGGTTTTTGTTAGCTCGATCGAGCAACGAACGAAGATAAAGTTGGAAGATAAACTGGTTCAGATGTGCATGCTCCTTCGAATTCGATTTGAATTACTGGCTCTCTCTGAATCGAGTTTATTTATTAACAAGAGCAATATCAAGAGATACGATACTCGTTACTTTTTACGCCATGTGCATTTTTGGGTATTTGTTATCAAGTTAAATTTTGCATGAAGATTAAATTAAATTATTAAACGAAGAGAACTTCATTTCGTTTCATTTAACGCAAACTTCACACGCACGTAAAAGTAAATGGATATATATATATACGGTATAAATGTCGGTCAAAGCTTTTATTAAATTATAAGCAATTTATGTTAATTTTTATCTCTGGAATTGATTCTCCAACGAGTTGTTCCGTATTATATGTTTTTTGATTTGGTTAATTAAAAAAAAAAAAAAAACTCGAAACGAAGTAAATACTCGAGAAAATTGTTAAATATGTATACATAATTGGAGATTTTATATAATTAACAGTTTTTATTATTAGAAAAAGGTTAAATTGTGTAGGAGAGGAAATAATAATTCTGAAATTACATAAAAAATGTTTGCACAATTTAAGTTTATTTTTGAAAATTTCTAAAATGCGAATTATTACATGTTAATTCTAGCTGAAAGGAATGATAATCCAGATTAAACGTATTCCCTTTCACGATTACAACATATTGTTAAAAAAAAAAGAATTATAAATGAAATATTGGCGCATTGACGCAATGTTGGGGGTCTTAATGGATTAGAAATATTTTGTTTGAAAATTTTCACAATGCGATATCTAGACTTTCGTTAACATATATTATATCATTTCTTGTTAATAATTGTTCTAATAATTATTCACTTGCACTATAAATCGACAAAAGCAAATACATAATTAAAATACACTATACTAATAAATAAATAAATAATTTCGTGACATTAAAAAGTTATTCGAAAGTCAAGTTAATCGAATAAAATAATCGAAACGATCTTTTGCAGGAGATCCGGCGGTTGCACAAGAATGGCCGACACCTCTCGACGAGTCCGCGGACGAGAAAAACGATGCCGAAATATTTCGAGCGGTCGTCGAATCAATGAGACAGTGGACTTTGCACAAGAAATTGCATCACAGGACCAGGAGAGAGGTATCGAAAGTCTGCTACGAAGATGTTGGCTGTTTCGAGGACACGGGGCCCTTCAGTTATCTGGAAATGTTACCTTCTCCGCCCAAAGATGTCGGCACTAGGTACATGGCAATGAAAAAAGTACAATTTGATTGATACGTATGAAATAACTGAACTGAATGAGATTTGAAAATTTTCGTTTACTTTTATCAATGATTTTCAACTCGTACATCTATAGAAATTTATCTAAAAAATTTTATGAAAATTTGAGAAAAATAATAAATAATTATCTTGTAATACATATATATATGTTCTTTATTTTCTAATACATATATATATGTATTGTTTTAGAGTTCATGATAATTGAATTGGATTATTGAATAGTAGTGAAAGGTTGTTTATCATTTATCTTTATAATTCCATAACTTGTTAAAATTGAAAACTGCATGAGATTGCAAATATTTTATGAATACCATTTACTTTCATTTCATTCCACTACTACTTTTATTTTATCAACTCACATTATTAAATTTATAATTGTACTATTTTATTATTGTGTAACTACATAAGAATTAAAGAAAAAGATTAAAAGTTAGTTTTTACTTTTTGATCTCACAAAGATTCTTCCATTTTTCTTAAATAGCATGATAAATGATATAGTATTTATACATTTATACAACACAACATTTATACAATTTATACATTAATGTATATTCCTGATATATTTTTGAAGGATTCTAAAATAAATACAAAAGTTGATATACTAGTTTTCTTCTATAAATATAGTTATAAGCAGTTTGAAGTTTAGTGTTAGATAAAGAGACAGAAATGCAAACTTCAATTACTTGTAACTTAATAAATAAATCTCAATCAAAATTTTTGTATACCAATTTCTGTATATGTTTTGATCTCTGAATTAGTCTATGCATGTATGTGGCAAAGATACATTAGAAATATTACACAATTAAGAAATATTCAATCAAAATGTTTTTCATCAAAACACGCATTTTTTTACCATTCTCTTTTTTCCTTTGTGAGAATATGCTTTGATCAAATTAATCTTCATGTAAATATTTATTAATGAATTATACTTATATGACTACATACTATTTATAAACCAGTTACTAATGATTTTAATACAGCTTTCCTTTTTACGTTTTTTCTTTTTTTAAATTCAAATTTGCTTGTTAGAATTAATACACGATAAAACACGATGTTAAAACTTAATGTCCTGATTACCTTTGACAGCACTTTTACTTAAGATGCCATATTATAAAGAAAAGTACAATTAATAGACGATCAGCAAATCGTTAATTTTATTGTGTAGCTAATATTTGAAAATACTATGATAGCTAATACTCACGGTAGATTTCGCAGAATATTTTTATTTATTTATTGTACCATAATCAAAGAATGTTATATAAAAAAGAAAATCCAATATTTACTCTAGTCTATATCTAGTTAATTTATATAATAATAGTAATATAATACTAGCCTGTAAATTTCAATTTTTAAATACATTTGACTGAAAAAAAAGAAAGCTGTTTTGATTCTCAAAAACATTCGCTTCCTTCAATAATTAGTTTATATTATAACTTTCCATTTTGTCCAGGCATTATAATATTTAAATTCAAATTGAAAATCTACGAATTTTACTCGATGAATTATCATTTGCTTTTTAAATTGAGAAATATTTTTTGCAGATTCCTGGTGTACGGTAGCAGGAAGGCGAGGTCGATCCCGATGGAGGTTCCTGCCGACGATATAAACGACAATGCACACCGTGCCATAGATCCTGATTTACCCACCAAAGTAATCGTACACGGATTTGGGTCCAGCTGTGACCACGTATGGGTTTACGAGATGAGGTCTGCACTGATGACGGTGCACGAATGTAATATAGGTAATGATTTTTTTTTTTTAAATTTTTTTCTTCTACAAAGAACTTTTGTCAAAAAAGAAGCTCGAGAAAATAGTTTTATTCTTAGCACTTTGATCTTCGTTAAAGATGACTCGAAATTTTGAAATTTGGATAAATTATAGCCAATCAACAGTTTTAAATTCTGCAAAAAAAGAAAAGATTATTGATTCTTCTAGATTTTTTCTCGAATTCCAATCTTAAATACAGATAAGTGGCCTTCAAAATATTCCAATTAATTCCATATTTCATTACTTATAGAATATATGTAATATTTAGTCTCACTCCGGATAAAAGAAAACGATAAATAAATTTTTTCAAAAGTTAATAAATAATTTACATTACATTTGCATAAAGTATTTCATCTAATATCTTTGAAATGTATAATTGAAATTTTTAAATACATTTGAAAGATTCTTGTTAGGAAATAAATTACATTTTTAATTTCAGCTAAAAAATAAACAATCACGTATATTTTGACAATTAAAATAAAAATGTTAAAAATCAAGGAGTTTAAAGAATTTTAGAAATTGACATTTGTTAAAATTATAAATGTTCCTTACCAAAAAGGACAAATAGATAAACATTCTAAATTTAGGAAATTCCATTCCTTTTTTTGCCAGTATAAGTTCAAAGAATTTCAGAAAGTTGACATTTGTTAAAATTATAAATATTCCTTACCAAAAAGGACAAATAGATAAATATTCTAAATTTAAGAAATTCCATTCCTTTTTTTTTCCAGTTATAAGTTCAAAGAATTTCAGAAATTGACATTTGTTGAAATTATAAATATTCCTTATCAAAAAGGACAAATAGATAAGCATTCTAAATTTAAGAAATTCCATTCCTTTTTTTCCAGTATAAGTTCAAAGAATTTCAGAAATTGACATTTGTTAAAATTACCAAAAAAAAAAAAGAAAGGACAATAGATAAGTATTCTAAATTTAGGAAATTCCATTTTTTTGCCAGTATAAGTTCAAAGAATTTCAGAAATTGACATTTGTTAAAATTATAAATATTCCTTACCAAAAAGGACAAATAGATAAGCATTCTAAATTTAAGAAATTCCATTCCTTTTTTTCCCAGTATAAGTTCAAAGAATTTCAGAAATTGACATTTGTTAAAATTACCAAAAAAAGAAAGGACAATAGATAAGTATTCTAAATTTAGGAAATTCCATTTTTTTTCCAGTATAAGTTCAAAGAATTTCAGAAATTGACATTTGTTAATAAAAATTATATTAATATTCCTTATCAAAAAGGACAAATAGATAAGCATTCTAAATTTAAGAAATTCCATTCCTTTTTTTTCCAGTATGCGTCGACTGGGGTCCAGGAAGCGCAGTCCCTAATTACGTAAGGGCGGCAGCCAATACTCGTTTAGTTGGTCGACAATTGGCCAAACTAGTAAGAAGCTTGAACGTGCCTTTGGAGAAGGTTCACCTGATCGGTTTCAGCCTCGGCGCTCACGTTGCCGGATTCGCTGGAGCCGAATTGGGCAACGTATCCAGGATCACAGGTATCGATCACAATTGCGTAAACATAATTATTTAACAACCCGTTGATAAGCGTTTCTTTCGAAAAAAAATACAGTTATGCAATATGCAATGAAGAAAATAATAATTCGTTCGTGAAATAACATTCAGAATGAAACATTGAACGCTGTGCATCAATGTCACTGATTACTTTCGCCAAAATTATATAAAGAAATAAGTTGTTTCGTAATTGCGGATAAGTGATTTTTTTTTGCATAAAGATAGATACTCGTGTTTCGAGTATAAAATTTTTCGAGGAAAACAGTCCCAGCTTTGTTGCCGAGTTTCCAATTTGCAATTTTCTCGTTTAATCTCTGAATCGATTAAACTTTTTCCCCACATTCTCTCACACCTGTCCACCTTGAACGAAGTTTACTTGATTTCAGAAAACGTTCTTACCACATATCTGTATACATGATTGCAATAAATTGGGTTAATCGGGATATATTATCCCGTGTGTTGCCTTATAAGTTGCCTTAACGATTCATTCATTATTTAAATGAAAATCGTAAGAAAGAATATCCATGTTGGAAAACGAGAAAGTGAACCACGAAAAGTTGTGCAATCCTTTGATCGATATTTAAACGGAATAACCGTTCACCAGAAACTGCAACGAGGATCTTTGCAAAAATATTTATGGCAAATATTTGATTTTTTCTTGATCAAGATTGATCGTATTTTCTTTATTCTTCTAATTTTTTTATTATTATTATTTTTCATTTAAACACTTAGAGATCTTGAGCTTTCGCTTGTTTTATTTATTTTGATTATTTAGAATGGAAAGATTTTTGTATAATTTTGAAATTTTGTAAATATCGATTAATCCCTTTAATTTAAAATTTAAAAGAAAATTTCAATAGATAGATTTTAGTTTAATTTTTCTTTTTTTTATTTTGTCACAAAATGAATGGCAAATATGAATGTTGAAATATAATTTCAGATAATAAAAAAATACAAAAGAAAAGGTTAGACCATGAAAAATTTATTCAAAACAGTATTTTTCAAAGCAAATGTGAAAGTGCTTGCTTAATTTTATGCTTGTAGCTCTTTGCTGAATCTTTAGGTATGATAATTTACAACTAATGATTATTAGTAGTTTTACTTATATAATTAAAGTCATAGTTTGTAAGTTATAGAATTCTTCTTTTTAAATTTATTAATTTTATATCAATTAAGATTATTTGACATTTATATAAAACTTTATATAAATATATATTGATTTTGGACTTGATCAATGGTATAATTTTTAAATTTGTTATAATGTGTTATAGTCAACGTTCAAAGAGTTTATAAGTTTCAATATTCGCAGGGTTAGATCCAGCAGGGCCGTTATTCGAATCCCAGGATCCAAGAGCTAGACTCGATAAAACAGATGCGAATTTCGTTGACGTTATACACAGCAACGGTGAACAACTGTTGCTCGGTGGTTTGGGTTCTTGGCAGCCTATGGGTGATGTAGATTTCTATCCTAATGGCGGCAGAATGCAAACTGGATGCTCGAATCTATTTCTTGGCGCCGTTTCTGACATTATTTGGTGTAAGTATTTCCTAAATCATATAATCTTTACTTATGACAGAATAATAATGTTATAATGAATTATAATGAAATAACTACTGATAAATAACAAAATTTACAAGAAATATATATATATATATATAAATAACAATGGACATAAATCAATGAAATATTATTTAGAATTTGTATTTAAATAAGAGAAATTATTTTAAAAAATCAAATACATTTTATTCATAATTATATGTTTTATTTTTCAATTTTAATAAAATATTTTTTTTTATTTCTTTTTTTTTCCCACATAAGACACATAAATTTTTCTTTTATGCATTATTTACTTTTATTATATACTTTTTATTATAGAAAAACTTTTTTTTTGGAATATATTTATATATTATAAATTGTTTTTTATACTTTATAATTTATTTTATATTTTGTTGCAAATTAATTGTTATACATCCTTTTTAAAATGGTATAAAACCAATTCAATAGTGAATTTGTAAATTGTATTAAATATATGATTGCATTCAATGTGTCAATATATAGGATCAAATTCAATTTTTCATTCTGGAAGAAAACGAAAATACAAATTTTAAAACTCTTTGTCCGCCAATTTGTTTCTATTACAAGTGATCGATAAAATTTAATGAGAAGTAATAATAAATCAAAGATTAGAAAGTGTTCTATGATCTTTTTCATCCATCGTTCAGGATAGTGTTACCTTCTCCGCAACATGGATCGAATTCTTTGTCCTTAAGAAAGTGGGTCACACTGCCTATATTGTGAAATATCGCCTAAAGATAGTTTGAAAAAGTTCATAAAAGTCCTGACCAGTTTCGTGACACCAAAGTTTTGTTGCTGATCCACGAGTAAATGATAGGAATCGTCATCTCAATTATTATAATGAAGATATTGTTGCATCAATCTTTGCATGTCATCCCAATTATATAAAATTATCCATCAGTAGTGATGGATAATTCCAAGCTGTAGCATTATTATTATGAATAGTGATATAATTTTAAATTATAACGTTATTTTTTGTGAATAGAGATATTTTATTTTCACATCATGGATATCTCAGAATCTTTTGATTAATATATTACTATTAATACAATATAAAAAATTTTATAAATAATATAATACAAAATTCAATTCAAAACATAAAGAATTCTCTCGTTCATCCAATTAACATTCAATGGACGTTTTCATCATCTGTTGATAAAGAATAAAAATTATAATTAAACACAAGATCTCTCATCAATCCAACTTTTAATACACTCTTATCGTTCATTAAATTCAACGTTCATATTGCAGCAAGCGCAGTCGAAGGTAGATCCTTGTGCAACCATCGACGAGCCTATAAATTATTCACCGATTCCGTCAGCCCCAAGTGTCGGTTTCCAGCGTTTCCTTGCGACAACGGGTACGATGGTCTTCTTCGAGGCGAGTGTTCCCTTGCGGAGCGAATGGCAATGGCAAACCCTGCGGCGACATGGGCTATTACAGCAACGAGTCACCTGCTAGAGGTCAACTTTATCTGGTAACCAGAGACGAGGAACCATTTTGTGCTCACCAGTATCAGGTAAAGGTGTACAACAGTCACAGCGAAAGACCTACTAGGAGTTATGGAAAATTGCAAGTGACCTTGGTTGGAGATGGATCTTTCAATGACACGTTCGCGATGACCAAGAAGGATGAAGAACTTATGGTTGGATCTGTGCTTCAGAAGATTGTCGTCCCACATCCTGCAATCTTTGATGTGGAAGCTATTGAGGTAAGCTATGGCAGTGTTTGATCCAAGACATTATTGGATTCTCTAAAGCTTTGATTTTTGAGCTTACTATTTCTTGTAATACATTGTATAATTTTTCAAACATTTCTATCTATAATAATAATAATAATAATAATGTAAAGAAAGTTTCACAGTCATAGATTTTAAAGATCAAATTTGTAGTAATATTATAAGATGTAATAATGTATAATCTGATATATATGTTCTTTCTGAATGCAGTTCCATACATTATCATATAATAGACTTCTTTTTATCTGATTATATTTTAAATCAACAGTTTTAAAAAGTTTTAAAAAGATTTAACATTTTTTGATAATGAATTAACATTAGATTTTAATTTTAATATAATAATAAAGATACAAACTTCATTCTCAATAGTGATCCTAAAAGTATTTTTTAAATATTTCATATTTTGTTTTCAATATTATAACTTACATTATATTAGAACTGATATCAGTAATTGCTATAATTACCATTAGATGACTACGTTCATAATATTTCATTTATGATTAGTTCATACATTCGATTTTTGCTATTCAAACGTTACTATATCTCTTATTATTATTTACTCTATTAAATATAATTGATTTGAACAAGTTGTTATTCTCTCTCTTTAAAAAACTGAGAGTTTCAAACCAAAGACTGAGAATATATCTTTTTTTTTTTAGATATTCGTCATTCATTTTCATATTTTCAGCAAAATGACAAAGATTTGATCTTGTATTTTCTGATTGTTTCAATAATTTTATGGCTTAAATCAAGTACATCACAAAACGATAATTTTATTAATTAGTAAATAAGTTCTACATGATTATATAAAATAAGATAAGATTGGATAATGTAACAAAACTAATTTTTAAGAATTAATTTTTAAGAATCCAAAAGAGCAAATATAAAAGAAATATTCTTATCCTTTTTCTTTATACATTACAGATCAAATACACAGCATATAGTGGTTGGATCTCGTCAGGTTTGGTGTCCTGGAGCATCGACAAATTGGCTATAATCGACAGCTTCGGGAAAACTCTTTCCGTCTGCAGGAAAGGTTTGAGCTTAGAATCCGGCAAACCTGTCTATCTTCCCTTATTCTCTGGCGAATGCAATGTTCCCAGTGAATCAGATAATTCAACTTCACCAAATTTAGAACGTATAGTGCAAGACAAGCAAGATGGTGGCATAGGTCCATTCACGAAAGAGCAAAATTACGAGCAAAAAGACAGTTACTCGATAGAAACATTGTCCAAAGAAAAAACCACAGCATCTTTATCTTCATCAAAAGGTGTGGGTCCCTTTACCAAGGATCAAAATCTACGGATAATCGAAAGTAAAGAGAACTTCAAGTCCAACAACTTCGAGGATCTAGGCAATCGTCGTAGCAACAATCCTTGGAACATAATAGACATATCTAGCGATGGTGATTCGAATTCCTTGGAAAATTCTGATTCTGAAAAAGGCAGAGGTTTCTCTAGCTCCAACTTGTTCACCAAGACTTCATCTCCCCATCCCTCTGTGGAACCATCCACAGAGTTTCTTCCAGAGATTCGAGAACCAGTGTTGCAAGTGGACAAAAAGGAAACAGGAAGGTCTTTGAAATTCCCAGAAATAACTGAACCTATTCTGAGGCCACGTTCTGCGAGGCAGAATACCAGAAATGAAGTGCACAAGCAGGACGAAATGCAACAGGAGACTTTATCAACTTCTAGAGGCTTTACTGTACAATTCTTGCCTGAGAGGTTGGCTGGTATATTGGCACAGGCTGAAAGATACGCCAGGCAAACTCTTCTTCCTTTGATTTCTCAATATACGCCTAGTTTCGTGAGTGGATCCAGGTACGAGGAACCCAAGTATTTTCCACCTTTGGGCGAGATCGCCACGGAGAATTATAAAGGATCTGGTGAATTGAGTATGAATAATGGTCAACAGAACATTTCAACAAAACATAATCAAGATAATCAAACGAGTGGAAATAATGAAACTGGCTTTAAGGAAGAAATGAAAACTAAGAGTCATTCTGATATTACACAGGTAATACCTGCGGTTGTAGAAGTGATTTATCCGGAGAAAGATGTGAATTCAAGTACTGCTATGGAAAGTAACGAATGGGTACCCATAGAACCATTCACATTGGGTAGTCCATCTACGTCTAGAAAGGATTTGAACGTTTCTAGATCTCTGAATTGGGAACGCGAGAGATATAATTGGTCCACGCAAACTGAAAACAGTAGTTTGAGATCAAAGATAGACGATTGGGTACCTATTACTGTCAAAAACGAAATTCAGATTAGTAGTGAATCTTCGAATAATGTTTCTAACGAGATTAGTTCGACCCATGTAGTCACCGACAAACAGATTGAATTTAGTCAGATGGAAGCTGCAACCGTAAAGGAGTTTAGAAATAATTCTGAGGCTGTCACTAAAGATGAGAGGAAATATATACCTCTGACTGATCCTGACGTGAAGGAATTATCGTCAACGAGCTCGAATGACATCTCGGAAACTAATTCTTCGAGTACCTCCTCGCATTCACCTTATTCTCATATTCAGAAGATTCCTAGGCCTAAGAATACGAGAAATAGTAAAGTTGGAAATTTGACGAGAAGAACTATGGTCTTCCCTTATGCATATGAGAAGAACAAAGATCCTAGAACTAGATATATACCTTTGATTCCTGAAGAAGATTTGAAAAGGCCTCATTTTCCTATGGAGAGGAAACGTTGAAGAGAAATGGAAGTTTATATTTTTTGAGAATTTGTGGAACAGAATTTGTGGAACTGTTGTTGAAAGTTTTCTTATTGACTTCTTTCGTTGTTTGTAGAGATTGATTAATTGTTACGTTTACCAGGATTCTAGAATCCTAGATACATACATTTTATTCCTGAAGACTTAAGAAGGCCTCACTTTTCATAAAAAAAATAAAAAAAAAAAAACGTTACAGCGAATAATTGGAAACTTATGTTTTTAAATTATGGAATTATCATTGGAATAATTTTTCCATTTAAAACAAATTTCCAATTTGTTAATGATTTTTTTTCCCATTATTTGTAAATGTTGATTAGTTGTTAAGACCAGTCTATAATAAATCATAAGTTCGTAAGTTTTAAATTTTATACTTATACAATACTAATATTAAAATTTAATATCGATGAATTTCCTTTATATTTTGTTAAACACAAAATAAGAGAGAATAAAATAAGTATTAAAAGTATTAAAACTTATAAAGTTTAATAATGATATGAATAATAATTTAATACATGATTTAATCAGAGTTTTGTAGTTTTTTTTTTTTTTTT